CTGGAGAGTCTGGCATGGAAAACCGAAGAACAATCTGGCAAATGTGTCTGGGAGGCAGGAGTCTATATAGGGGCTTGATTACTGATCAGAGGCAGGTGAGTGAACAGGTGAAGGGAGTTTAGACTGATGAGGAGGGAGTGACTGACAAGTAGAGTGAGGAGGGTGTGGAGCTGAACTGTGACAGTTTGTCCATCTCTCAATAACTTCCCTACCCTCTAAACCCATTGCTTTTACTGAATATGTAAATCTCTAAAAACAGGTCATGCAGTGCAACAGCAAGGCTCATTGATGTGTTTTAACGGAGCTCTATGGCACAGAGGAAGAAGACATATCGGACTGTGATACACAATACTTGTAGGTTAAATCCACAGCTGGATAGAGTATCAGCAGCCTTAGTCCTGCCGAATCTGTTTTAGCTATTATATATACAGTATATATATTATTATTATATCCTTGATATTGTTTGTCAGTGTTTTCCTAAATGTATAAATACGTTTTCTGATATGTCTCCTTCGTGGCTAAAATTTGGTTATGTTCTTGCACATAAATTATTTAAGTATTTTCGGGGGAAAATCATGACCATTGTTAAAAGAATGTAATGTTGACTGTTGGTAGGTGATGGGATGCGAAACATGGCCCCTGCGGTGTCGGTTAAAAGTTTAATACCAAGCAATGACAAAAACAACGAGAGATGTGAAAAGAAAAAGTTAAAACAACAAAAGTTGTGGTCTTGTTTAACACAGTTGTAGATGTCTGTGATGTTAATCTGTTAACTGTATCCTCCTGTTGCACTCTGTGAATCTCTCTGTATTACCATACAGTGCAGGTGTGAAAGAGGAGGGAGTGTTGGCTTCCTGTTAGCTGCTATTTTGCTGGTGTGAAGTTGATCATTTCTTGTGACTGTATCTTGTATTGTCGGCATGTTTGTTTACCCACACAGACCACTTCCAGCTGTTCCCCCTGACCACTGTTCCGTGTGGCACCGTGGATGAACGGCCCTTGTAGATCATTTAAAATATCCTTATTTTCACTGATTAGTTCTACTGTTTGGTACTGTAAAACTAGTGACAATGAATTTGATTTGCATTCTGAAAGAGGGAAGTGAAGTCACCCTGCATTCAAATAATCACACGTCAATTTCAAGATTTGAGCCTTTCTATTTATCTCTGTGTGCCTCTCTCTATCTATTTATCTCTGTG